CTAAGTGTGAATTTTCATGGAGGGTTTTGATGCGTCCGTGTCCCACTTTGGAGCACTTGAGCAGGCTACATATTACAACTACACCATAAAGGCATACCATTTCTTAAAGAACACATCCCAGGGTATTTCAAAAGGCATATTTTGAACCTTAGCGTGGGATCATTTTTCAGTTAGCTTGTACCAATTTTAGTAGTAATAAGCATTTTTGACACACAAAGTGAGTTTGCACAGTATATTTTGCAAACGTTATGTGTACTACGACTGTATGTAATACTTCATTTGTTGCTCAGCTGTTATCTGAGTACAGCAATACCCCCGTATGTACCTTTGCTAGGTATATGTGGACATTGAAGGGGCACATTTGAGACACAGCCATTCCAGGGTTGTTTTTTTTTCAAACTTTGAATTTGTCCAGGTCTTTTTTGTAGTATTTTAGCAGACTATATATATATGCCAACTATCCCATAAAAGCATACCATTTCTTAAAGAAGACATCATAGGATATTTTAAAAAGCATATATTGAACCTTAGCGTGGGATCATTTTTCTGCTTGCTTGTACCAAGTGTAGTGGTAGAAAGCATTTTTCTGCCTTTTTGACAGACAAAGTGAGTTAGCACAGTATGTTTTGCAAACATATGTGTGCTATGGTTGTATAATACTTCATATGTTGCTCAGCTATGTCATCTGAGTACAGCAATACCCCCGTATTTACCTTTGCCAGGTATATGTGGAGATTGAAGCGGCACATTTGAGACACAGCCATTCCAGTTTTTTTCCAACTTTAAATTTTTATGCTATGTCCATTTTCTATTTCGGAGTAGTTTAGCTGTTTGGTTATTCAAACTTCCCCACAAACGCATAACATTTTTTAAAGAATACACCCTGGGGTATTTCAAAAGGCATATTTTGAACCTTTGCATAGGATCATTTTTTTGCTAGTTTGTTCCAGGTGTAGTGGTAGGTATTTGTAGGTGTAGGCATTTTTAATGTATTTTTTTTACTTTTTGAAACTTTCTTAAAACTTTTTAAAACTTACAATTTGTATAAACTTTGTTTTACCTTTAATCCATAACTAGTAGTAAGCAGCACTTACAGTAAATTCCCCATAACTCCCACCCAGCTAGCAAAATATATAATTAAAAAAATATTTAAATTAATTAATGAAATAAATTGAAGGGTTAAAAAAATTTAAGCAGACCCTCAGGGGTTAAAAGAAAATCAGTATAATACTGTGATCTGTATTTTGATCACTGTAGGCAGTGATCAACTGGCAGGGAAGGGGTTAATTTTTATTAGGAGTGGGTAAAGGGGGGTGGGATTTTTTTTGTACTTTTTTGAAACGTTAGTAAAACATTTTTTTTAAAAACTTTTTTTGAAAACGTTTAACGTTAAGCCTTAGCTAGCCTAACACCAAATTCCCCAGTTCCCCACTAACTTCCACCCACCGCGGCAAGCTAAATATATAGCCCCCAATGGTGTACTAAGCGGGGGGAGGGTAGGGGAGGGGCGGTCTGCCCCGGGTGCCATCAGGCAGAGGGGTGCCACCAGGGCTGGCCAGGCTTGGAAGTCTGTGAGCTGTGTGGCTGCACCGGGTGCCATAGCAGCAGGGGCACCGGGCAGCCGACACAGCTCACATGCAGGGGCTTGGAGCAGGAGCAGGAGACCTGGCTCAGCTGGCTGCACGGAGAGTTGGGGACGGAGCTAGAATGGCAGTGGGGGCGGAGCCAAGCCCGATGCAGAGGTGGGGCTAAATGCAGCCTCTCTCTGATCACACAGAGGGGAAGCAGGAAGGAGTCCCTGCTTCCCCAACTACAGCACAGGAGCCAGAGGGACTGAATCCACTCCTCCATTCCAAGCTTAATGTAAGTGAGAGAGAGAGTGTGTGCTGTGTGTAACTGTGATCGTGACTGTCTTTGACTGTCTGTGTGTGTGTGTGTGTGTGTGTGTCTGACTATCTGTGACTGTGTGAGTGACTGTCTGCCTGTGATTGTCTGTGTGACTGTGTGTGTGTGTGACTGACTGTCTGTCTGTGACTGTGTGTGTGTGTGTGTGTGTGTGAGACTGTCTGTGACTGTGTGTGTGTGTAACTGTGTGACTGTCTGTGACTGTGTGTGTGTTGTCTGTGTGTGACTGTCTCCCTGTGATTGTGTGTGACTGTGTGTGTATGTGTGACTGTCTGTGACTGTGTGTGTGTGTGACTGTCTGTCTGTGACTGTGTGTGTGTGTGACTGTCTGTGACTGTGTGTGACGGTCTGCCTGTGATTGTGTGTGACTGTCTGTGTATGTGTGTGGGTCTGTGATTGTGTTTGTGTATATCTGTGATTATGTGTATCTCTGTGTATGTGTTTAGTAGATAGCTCCCTTATTTGGTGTCCTTAAATATTGCAATCTAATATAAGGATAACAAATAAGGGATTTATCTACTAAACAACTGAAAATAAGAAAAGGGCTTTTTAAATTTTGATCCTTTAGCTGTTTAGTAGATAATTCCCTGAATTATATGCAAATGTGTTGTCAGATGCCAGCATGCAGAGCACAGTGTTTCTGCGTGTGTGTATATGTATCTACATGTGTGTATGTCCGTGTATGTGTATATGTGCAGACATCTCAAAATCTCGCCAACACTACACAAAATACACTCATGCATTTCAACGTCAACACTGCATACAAACCCCACCATTATATATAGCCACACCAATGCATTCAAATATCACACAACACACAAATGCATGCTTGCATTCAAACACCAACACTACATACAAACACACCCCTACATTCACTCACACATACTCCATACAAAAACATGCATACATTCACACACAAACACTGCTCAGTGCTAAATACATTAAAAAGATTTTGGTTGTTTTTTACATTTAAAGTTGAGGGGGGTGCCAAAAATAGGACCCTCCCCGGGGGCCAAATTCTCTAGGTATGCCCCTAATAGACCTTATAGACTCTAAGCTTGTTTGAGCAGGGCCCTCTTCAACCTATCGTTCCTGTAAGTTTTCTTGTAATTGTCCTATTTATTGTTACATCCCCCCTCTCATAATATTGTAAAGCGCTACGGAATCTGTGGCGCCATATAAATGGCGATAATAATAATAATATTTAAATTAAGTAATAAAATAAATTTAGTTCCTGAGGGTTAAAATAAAATAAAAGTTAACCCTCACGGGTTTAAAATTTTTTTTTTTAAATCAGATCACAGTAAAATGTAGTCCCCATCAATTGATCACTGAAGTCAGTGATCACCTGGTAGGGAAGGGGTTAATTTTTATCTTAATTGGGTAAAGGGGGTGGGGGGGTTGGGATTTTAAACTAACTTTTTTTTTTACACAGTGAGAAGATCACTGCTAATCCGTCTCCCTGCATTTCACACTGAACGCGGAAGCACAGGGAGGCGGATCAGAAGTCCCTGCAGCAAATGTGCTAGCTCTGGCAGGCTGTCAGAGCGATCACAGCTGCAGGGACAGCGCGATCAGGTGCTCCCTCAAATACGGAGGTGCATTAACCCCGTGATCTGGGGTTAACTTTAGTAAATGACGGAAATTTTTCGTCATGTGTCCTTAACGGACAATTTCCGTCAAGTGTCGTTAAGGGGTTTAAGGAACACTATAGGGTCAGGAATATAAATGTATTCCTGATCCTATACTGTTAAACCAACCATTTAGGTGGCTTGCCCCCCCTCGCTAAAAGTTAATAAAACTCACCTTATTTCCAGCACCGCACAGGCCCGCCAGATTGGCTCAAATCGGCAAAGGGAGCAGGGCCAATCACTGTTTTGGCCAATCAGCACTTCCTCATAGAGATGCATTGAACAATGCATCTTTATGAGGAAAATTGAGCACGAACAGCTGCATACTGTGCAGCACTGAGCCAGGCAGTGGCGGATCCGGGGGGGGGACAACGGGGCAATTGCCCCCCCCCCCCGAGAAATCCGCCAGTCTCCCTCTTCCTCCCCTGTCAGCAGCACATGCAGGTACTAGCCCTGCAATGTGCCTGCGGACCGGGGGGGAGATCAGAGATCTCCCTCCCCGGTCTGCAGGCACTGTGCTGGCGGCTGGCGGCCGGCGGGGGAGGGAGGGAGTGAGAGAGAGGACCCGGAAGCTAAGGCTGCAGCTCCTCCGGGCCCTCCTCTCGTGAGATTTGGAGCGTTGCCGCGGTTACCACGGCAACGCTCCAAATCTCGCGAGAGTGAACTCTAGCCCTGGAATGCGGGCTAGAGTTCACTCTCCCCACTGGACCACCAATGAATCTCCCACGGATGACGGACCACCAGGGAAATGTCCCCCTCCCCCTCAGTAAAGGTAAGAAGGGAGGGGGGACATAATGATTATTTATATTGAATTAAATAAAAAAATATATATAAAAAAAAGCCCCCCCTACCCTTATCACACACACACTCTACACACACTGCCCCCCCATACACACACACTGCCCCTCATACACACACTGCCCCCCCATGCACACACACTGCCCCCCCACACACACTGCATACACATACACTCCACACATACACTATCCCCATACACACACACTGCCCCCCATACACACACTGCCCCTCATACACACACTGCCATACACTGCCCCCCATACACACACACACACTGCCCCCATACACACACACTGCCCCCATACACACACACACACTGCCCCCCCATACACACACACTGCCCCCATACACACACTCTACACACATACACTGCCTCCCATACACACACACTGCCCCCCATACACACACTCTACACACATACACTACCCGATACAAACACACTGCCCCCCATACACACACACTGCAACTGTTACACTGCCGCCCTCACACACACTACAACCTTCACACACACACACTGCTCACACACTGTCCCCCTCACACACACACTGCACCCCTTACACATTGCACCACTCACACACACCACTGCTCCTATGCCCTACTACTGCCCCATTTCCCTGCAGACCTCAGGTAAGGTGTCAAACTGTTCTTAAACGGTTTGACTACTTACTCTGGGAGGGGGTCCCGGCACTATTGACACCATAACCACTACAGCTGTAGTGGTTATTGTGTCTGGATTATTTATTTAAATAATCTACAAGTGCCCCTCCCGAGATCAGGCTCTGGATCCGCCACTGGAGCCAGGAAGCACCTCCAGTGGCCATCTGAGGAATGGCAACTTGGAGGTGTCCCTAGGGGCAATGTAAAGACTGCCTTTTCTCTGAAAAGGCAGTGTTTGCATGAAAATGCCTGCATATAATGATTATACTCACCAGAACAACTACATTAAGCTGTAGTTGTTCTGGTGACTATAGTGTCCCTTTAAACAAAATAAAGGTTTCACCAACCTTGGTTATTTGCAAATGCATGTCTACTTTGAATAAATTTGCTCTTTTGATTATTTGAAGCCCTAGGAGCGCAAGGACGTACAGTGTCAGTTAGGTGACTTTTTTATACTGTACTTTTCAGAAAAAAACCTACGTTTCTATTAAAACTGACATTTTTGGTTTTTTTGCAGCCCACGTAAAACCTTGTTTATTTGGCCCATGTTGCCCTTTGAGTTTGACATGCTTGCTGTACATGGAGGGGTACTCTTGTACTCGTGAGACATTGCTGAGCACAAATATATGTGTATTTTATTGCAGTAAACTGTAACAGTATTATAACATTCACAATTAAAATGCCATGCAGAATTTAGAAAATACTTTTTTTTTTAGATTTCATATTAAAATTATTTTTCATATATAAATATGTGATTGAAATGAAAGCCCCGTTTCTCCTGAAAATAATGATATATAATAAGTGTGAGCCTACTTAATATAAATAAAGAGGTAAATTATGGTTGAACATACATGTAGCACAAATTCCAGGTTATGATCAGAACTTGCACAATTGCCTGTCATTAACGGGTTAATCTGTATATTGACTATATTGTAAGGATCAGTGCACACCGCAGGGTCCTAGTTTCCTGAATATAGCGTAAGCGGGACTTATGATGTATTTACACTATTCTTATTGGTGACAGTTCCCTGGTGTCCCCAAAAGCAGGACACTGGGTACTCAGTCAGGATGGCGGGACAGGACACCTAAAAATACAAAATCATACACCTTCGTTTTGCAATTAACTTCGATGTTCGTTAATAAACCATTTTTTTGTTTTTTAATTCAGAGGGCTGAAATGCAACGGGGGTTGTTTACATACTGAATTCTAAATGTTATTGAATTGGGGAGAAAAAATGAAAACGGCAGCAGAGTTGCAAAAAATCTCTAACTCGACTACGGTCACAGCTGGATAATTGTAACCAGAACTCTGCCATTTGGTTTCAATTTATTCTAATTTAAATGATGGAACAGAACAACAGGAAGTAAAAGAATATACAGACAACACATATTTTAGGGAACTTATAAGCAGTGAACTTGTATAAAAGGTTTAAAAATTAATAAATGGAGTATGTGTGCAGCTTTTTCTTTTCCTTAATTTTAGGTTCAAAATACACAAAAACCATATGTAACTGCACAAAGGTGACAAAAAAAATATATATATATCACATGATCTACTACAACACAAAACAGCCCAGGAAAAAGGTGATAAGCAGCCCTAAGCCTGGGCACTGCACTAAATATACAAAGACTGACACCTAGTGGTGGTATAGCTACATTACACTAAATGGGATGCGTCACTTAGTGCTAGAGGCTAAGGCTGCAGGGGCAAGAAAAGGTTGACGTTACTATTGGCTGTTGAGAACAGAGCAAGGTAACCGTTGTCGCGCCATTGGTTGGCTTCCAGAGCCGCGCGCACGGGAAGCCACACCCTCTCCAAGTAAATTTGAAATGGAGTGCGCGAAGACCAGGCGGCCGGCAGTGCGCATGCGCGGGGCCCAATACTGGCCTCCTGAACGGAATCCTACGACGCGTTGAATTAAACCGGGACCCCTCAGATACCGACGTCACGGACCACAAGATGGCGACCGGGACCGTCGAATTCGATGAGGTGGTTAAAGTGGCCAACGACTGGGTGTTCGATTTCATGTTTGCCAGCCTGTGCCATTACTTCAAAGAGGAGCGGGCGGTGGAATTCCACAATACGTGCAGGGCCATGGAAGGTAATGACGTCACGGGGAGGTGGGTGGGGGGGCAGTCTCGCGCTGTGTGTTGCTAGGTGACGGCTACCCGTGAATGACAGGAGCAATTTAGACCGCTTGCGGGATGAGGCTATAGGCAGCGTTTGTAGGCTCTGCGCATGCGCAGTATGGCTGCACTTTAAACTAAGGGAGAAGGCCCCCTGCCGGTCAAATGTTAAACTACACATTGTAATAACACTCCTGCCTTTTATTTTACACATATCAATATAAAGTTTGTTTTTATTAACCCCTTAAGGACGGAGCCAAATGTACACCTTGTGAACGAAACAAAATGTAAACAAAACCTGGCATTTGCGCTACATGTCTGTCCAACCGTAATTCACCTCTTTCATAGTAAATGCACCCATCCTTATTATATATCATTTTATTCAGGTGAAACAGGGCTTTAATTTAATATCAAATATTTAGCTATGAAACATAATTTAATATGAAAAAAATGGGAGAATTTTTTTTTTTTTAGTTCTACATGACATTTTAACTGTCAATGTCATAATACGGTTTGCTTTTACTGCAATAAAATACACATATTTGTATTCATTGATGTCTCATGTGTAAAACAGTACCCCCTATGTACAGGTTTTATGGCGTTTGGGGAAGTTACAGGGTCAAATATAGCACGTTACATTTGAAATTGAAATTCGCCAGATTGGTTATGTTGCCTTTGGGACTTTATAGTAGCCCAGGAATTAAATTTACACCCATAATGGCATACCATTTGCAATAGTAGACAACCCAAGGTATTGCAAATGGGGTATGTCCAGTCTTTGTTAGTAGCCATTTGGTCACAAACACTGGCCAAAGTTAGCGTTAGTATTTGTGTGAAAAATGCAAAAACCGCCAATTTTGGCCAGCTTTTGTGACTAAGTGGCTACTAAAAAATACTGTACATACCCCATTGTACAGCGCTATGGAATTTGTTGGCGCTATATAAATAATAATAATAATAATAATTTGCAATACCTTGGGTTGTCTACTATTGCAAATGGTATGCCATCATAGGGGTAATTTTCATTCTTGGGCTACCATAGGGTCTCAAAGGCAACGTAACCAATCTGGCAAATTTTAATGTGAAAAAAATGAAACGCAAACCTTATATTTGATGCTGTAACTTTTGAAAACACCATAAAACCTGTACATGAGGGGTACTGTTGTACTCGGGAGACTTCGCTGAACACAAATATTTGTGTTTCAAAACAGCAAAAAGTATCACAGCAATAATATCGTCCGTGTAAGTGCTGTTTGTGCGTGAAAAATGCAAAAACTTCACTTTTACTGGCGATATCATCGTTGTAATACATTTTACTGTTTTGAAACACTAATATTTGTGTTCAGCGAAGTCTCCCGAGTAGAACAGTACCCCCCATGTACAGGTTTTATGGTGTCTTGGAAAGTTATAGGGTTAAATATAGTTCTAGCAAATTAAATTCCCTTTACTTTCGGCATGGGTTGTCAGGCAGGTCCCGCTAATTGTAATTAATTAAGATACCTAATTATGTAAAAATATTACATAAATATATATGTAGAATTAATATATGTGTATATGTGTGTGTATATATATATATATATATATACTGTGTATTGTGTGTGTGTGTATATATATATATATATATATATATATATATATATATATATATATATATGTATGTATGTGTATGTGTATATATATATATATATATATATATATATATATATATATATATATATATATATATATATATATTATGTCAAACCCCACTCCAAAATAAAATATATTTTACCTGGTGCTCTGGTTTTTCTTATATATATATATATATATATATATATATATATATATATATATATATATATATTTTTTTATATATATATTTTTTTAATTTATATATAGTGATATATACGTATATATTTATGTATATAGATAAATATTATTTAGTTCTCGTGTATTTATATATATATATATATATATATATATATATATATATATATATATATACACAGTTAGAACGAAATAACACACATATTTAATTTTTTTATAAAATATATATATATTAAAATGCACCTAGACAGTGTATGTGTGTGTAAGTATATGTGTGTGTGTATATATATATATATATACCAAGCAAAAAAAATAATCAGCACTCCCAGGATTTGTAAATAAGCCAAAAAATACTTTACTCCACAGGTCAACGTTTCAGCTCCTCTTGGGAGCTTTCATCTCCCAAGAGGAGCTGAAACGTTGACCTGTGGAGTAAAGTATTTTTTGGCTTATTTACAAATCCTGGGAGTGCTGATTATTTTTTTTTGCTTGGTATCTATTGTGCAATCGAGCACCGGGTTTTATTTAATGTTTGGTAGGAGTGCAAGGCTTTTTTTGCTGTGTGTATGTATGTGTATATATATATATATATATATATATATATATATATATATATATATATATATATATATATATATATATATATATATATATATATGTATATGTGTGTGTGTAAATTTTTTATTTTTATTTTTTTTAATTTTTTTTATTTTACACTTTTGTAAACTTTTTTTAATTTTATTTATTTTATTTCCAGCCAGCAGAGGGACCACCTGTCATTACAGGCAGCCCCCCTGCTGGCAATGCAGGAGGCAGCTATCCCGGCCATGTGATTGTGAGGCGACCGGGTAAGTAAAGAAAGACCGGAGGGCGTACTATTACGCCCGGCGGCATTTAGAACCGCCTAAAATAGGGCGTAATAGTAGGCCCTCCGGTCTTGAGGGGTTACTATATGAGCCGACCCTTACGTTTGTACGTTTAACATTGTATACACCCAGGATGTTTCCTTCAAATATTTAATGGGACACTATAGTCAACAGAAAAACTACAGCGTAATGTACTTGCTCTGGTGAGTATAGACCGTCCGTGCAGATATTTTGCTGTAAATGCTGTCTTTTCAGAGAAATGGCAGTGTTTACTTCAAAACCTAGGGACACCTCCAGTGGCCACTCCTCAGACAGCCACTAGAGGTGCTTCCTGGGTCAGTGACATACAGTGTGCAGCACTGACGTTCAGCGTCTCCATCCTCTGCATGGAGACATTGAACTTTCCCCATAGAGATGCATTGATTAAGTGCGTCTCTATAAGGAGATGCAGATTGTCACAGATCTATATAGGTCCCCCAACTTTCAACTTACCTCACACACTGTATCCAGGCTTTTTCATCAGGAGAAAAGCAAGACTGTAGTCATTGGTTAATTAGCAAAATATTCTCAGCCTGTGATATTGGTCCTGTTTTGCTCTAATCTAAAGTGACATCCAACTAGAGGAGACTGGATGCGGTTCATGCACCCTGGAGTACACAGGTAAGTTGTCAATTTGTTTTAGCAAGATTTGACATCTTGCCACAGTACAGCAGGCTGTAGTAGTTATGATGCTTGGAGTAACTCTTTAAATACTTGTCCTTGGGGAACAGCAATGTAAATGGCTGTCCCTTTGACATTAACAAAATATTTCCTATCTTGTTTTTCTTTTTTTAGTCCTTCTTGAAGGAATGACTGATTTGGACAATGACAGAAAAAAAGCTGTTTTGATTGCACAGTTCATAACACGTGTTGCAGAAGGAAAACAACTTGGTAAGCCACCCCATGTCTCCATTATAAATTTAAAGTTAATTTGCACTTTACCTGGAAGCTGGAATCATACTAGTGCCCATCTTCAGAAATGTACTATAACGCGGCACTTTCACCGTCTGGGGACTTTGCCGAATTTGCAAAGACAATGACATCGCTGCTGGGAGTCCAGTGAGCAGGGGCAGATAAAGTTGAGATTTACTTTTCTGAACCTGTCTTGAGTGGCCATGTGGGTCCTCTTCGGAGTCGACATCACTGCTCTACACTCGTGCATGTGCAAGAGTACATCATTGAGGTCTATGGAGGTTCCCGTAAGACCATGGCATCCTCTGCAGACACTGCCAATTCCCTGCAGCTGTCACTGGTGACGGCTGCCGGGACTGACACTTAGACTCTGCCCTAAGTTTAAGAAAATCAGGCGGAGGAGAAGCATAGAGACCAAGTGGTCCCAAGTTTGTCTCTGTATATCTCTTGACCGTCAAATTGAGTATATCTTTATGAAATACTCATTATATCTTTATAAAATACTCATTGTAACAGTGCCACTTTAATCTACACCCCATCACACCAGTGGGCTTGAACCCTCAAAAAGTTAAATCTTTATGGCACTTTGACTGTTAGAATTTCACTGATATACCAGCGCAGTCAAAAGCTATCATATGACAGAATAGGGACAACTTTGTTCTATGCATTTTCCTATGCTTGACAAAAGGCAGAGCTATTGCCAGCAAGTTTTGCATATTTTCCCACCACACACCAAGTGGCAATGTCACCTTCAGCGTATTTTCTAAATATGCATAGACCCCAGAAAGTGTCAGTTGCTTTACATAATGACCAGAAAGGAAGTGTAAAAAAGTTACAAAAATAACTTTCCTGATCCTTTTTACAGCTTCTTGCTGCCTTTAAACATACAAATCCCCAAAGGGCAAAGAAAAAAGCCCATTCACCAAAAAGGTTAGTCCAAGCACTCAGCAATTCTGAAGTGTACTGACCAGAATCGAGAGTATAAGGCGGTCAGCTAAATAGTCAGTAATTAAGTGGTAAAATAATCTATGCCCACTTACTCAACAGTTTTGAAGAGCAACAAATACAAAATATTAGTTTCAATTTTAAAAGGAACACTATAGGGTCAGGAACAAAAACATGTATTCCTGATCCTGTAGTGTTAAAACCACAATCTAGCCCCCTGGCCCTCTCTTGCCTCCCTAAGTATAGTAAAATCTTACGTATTCAAGTCTGCAGCTCCTGGCTCTGCTCCTGACTGCCTGAGACCTGCCCCTGCCTGCTGACGCCATCAGAAGTGTTATTCTGAGCCAATCACAATGCCTCCCCATATGATTGGCTGAGACTGTCAAGGAGGCAGATCAGGGGCAGAGCCAGCACAAGTCAAACACAGCCCTGGCCAATCAACATCTCCTCCTAGAGATGAATTGAATCAATGCATCTCTATGATGAAAGTTCAGTTTCTGCATGCAGAGGGTGGAGACACTGAATGCTGTGATGCACACTAGGCAGGACTGCCCAAGGAAGCAACTCTAGCAGCCATGTGAGGAGTGACCAGTGAAGTTATCACTAGGCTGTAATGTACACACTGCATTTTCTCTAAAAAGGCAGTGTTTACAGCAAAAAGCCTGCATGGAATGATTCTACTCACCAGAACAAATGCAATAAGCTGTAGTTGTTCTGGTGACTATAGTGCCCTTTTAACAGGTCTCAATTACAGTAGGGTAGTTCCCACAGAGTATCCCACAGAGTTCTCTTGTTTAGTCAGTATTTACTTGTATAAACTTGATCAACTTAACTTCTGTAATGATAATTTATTCTATGCGGGTTCGCTCGCCTAACTTTAGAGAAACTAAATGCTTCAATCACACACGTAATCTACCATACCTGTGAAGAGACTAAATACCTTAATCGCACAAGTGATCTACTATATCAATCAGGAACCCTCAGACACGGGCGCTGCTGAAAGCACCAGCTGATGCTTTCAATCTACCGTAGCTTCCCATTCACAAAATGGAGTGAGAAAAATACGTGGGATTCTTTTTATGTATAAGTAAATTTGCAGAAAAACCCTCCAAACATTGCCAATGCAGTGTTTTAGAAGGGGAGAGATAAGTAACCTAAAGAAGTGTTGTGCACAGGGTGACTGGCTGTAGCCTGTGATCATTTTGGACAATAATCTAATTTTAAATACTTGTTCTTTGCACTGATGCAAGCAGCCTGATACCCAATGTCACCCTCTTGGCACACATTATAGTCATCACCATCTTGTCACTGTCCTTCTTCTCATCCTATCTGTCTCCCACCTTTGGCTATGTTTACTCCCCCCCCACTCTGTATTTACCAAGTTACAGTGGTATCACTTGTAATGACAGGATAGCACGTTGTTGTTGTTTTTTGTTTGTTTGTTTTTTTGTTTTGGTTTTTTCATTTAGTCTCAGCTGTTCATTGGATGGAGCAGTGACCAGTAATCAAGTAAGTTGATTGAGTGAGGGACATGGGTAGGCTGAGTCTTGAGGGAGACTATTTAGGATTAGGGCTATGTACATACACACATCTTTGCAATTACTGATGTGCCCAGAACTGGAAGTGACAAGATGTATAGAAGAAACTACAATAATCCTTGCCTAGACATTCCGTAGTTGTTTAGCTAGTACAACATAGAGTAAAAATAGGTAATTTCAATGTAAATCTCTCTTGTATTGTACATGAGAAAGCAAAAGTCTGCTTGGCTTCCAAAATGGAGCTATAGAGTAGTTAATATATGCATTAAAGGACCACTGTAGTGCCAGGAAAACATACTCATTTTCCTGACTCTATAGGGTCCTTGGGTCCCCCTCACCCTCTGGGCCCCCCTCCCGCCAGGTTCGAGGGTGAGGAAGGGGTTAATCCGTCCGCTGTAGCCTTTTAGAATGCATGTCCCAGACTATTTACTTCACCTAATCCCGCCATATTTAGTTATTTATAAAATATTTTACTAAGATGGATACATTGAGATTTCTCTCGCATTGTTACAATAGGATACAATATTACAAAAAATACAATATATATATATACATACCCACATTTATAAAATTAACACAAAACAGGTAATAAATCTATTCAACCATGATAGGTGCATTCTGTGCTGAGGTATATTGCCATAGATGTCTTAAGATTTTAGATTTAGTTAAGATTTGACTGTGTTGCTTAACTGTACTTTCTACACACCTAACTGACCATCCGGTATTCCAGTTAGGTAATTTAAGCCTTGATTAGCCCATGTCAACACCTGTTTTCTAGCTGTCTTCCAGTCATGCCATTTATTTGAACAAACCATGGATGGGTGGGTGGAGAAAGTGATAATCAACTCAGTGCAGGCAAACCACTGTCAGGAGGTCACTCCCAACCTCTATTAAAAATAAACAAATACTGAACCCAATGTCAGAAAAACAGGGCGCCACAGTCACTTGACAGATCTTAAAATTAAATCTGGAGATTCCCATTAAAAAAAATCCACTTTATTGTAGATAAAATCACAAGCAATAGCACAAAACTTGTGCCAATTTGCAAAATATACAGAAATATATAAAAAGCTAAATTGACCAAGAGCCCTTAGGAACAGCAGCTTTAAACCAACATGATACTCGAATGGTAATAATAATGCATGTGCAAGAGTGCAAGGTGCTTACACCACTCTTCCACAATACACAAAAAGTATTTAAAGATGGTAAACAAAGACTACTATACCAAAGTGCAGGGTTCTTGCTGATGCTCAATGCGTTTCGTTAATCTGACTTCCTCAGAAGCTAATGCCATTTATTTGGACTTCATTTTCAGACCCTTTACTTCACCCATATTTCAAGTCGCTAGCTTTGATTGATCTAATTTTGCATGACGAGTATATGTCATGGTCACTGGCTAGAATTGAGTAAACCAGTTACGAACCACATCTCTCACATTGGTTTGGAGTGCCAACCTCTCTTTATGCGATTCTTATGGCTCTTATTGGAATAATTGTTTGATTCACAGAGGGTTGGAACATCTCCACGAATCTCCCAGCAAGACTTGTTTTCATTGCCTTCCAGGCATGTAGAAATTTTTGTTTTAGGTCTACTATAGTTCAATTCCTCAGTGAAGTTATTGCTTGAATATTCTCTAACTCATGACAATCTTCTCAGCATGGCATGTATCAGTGGTGCCTTGTGTTTCTCTTTTTAAAATATTTAATCATGATAAGGCTGTAGTTAATACTTCTTAAGAACCAGGGAATCACTTATTTTCTCTTTTTGTGTTCCAAGTTAAGGTGAAAGATTGTAAGCAGCTGTCTCTGTGACCATTGCTGATGCTGTCAGTTAATGCTCCTTGGATGATGACCTATCAGGTCTGACTATGTATTGGCACTTGAACATAATAATCCAAAATAACAATGCTGGAAGAAAAAATTAGCTGGAGAATATTTCCAATTTATTTGTTACGGTCTAATATTTAATTCCTTATGACAATACTTCATAATCCAGTGAATAAAGTCCAATATAACTTTTGTCTAATTTGTCCACTTTCTTGTATTAAGTTGTGGTTTTTTTTGTGTTTTTTTTTTAAATAGATTCTCAGTTTGAATCAGATGAAAGAATTACACCCTTGGAATCGGCTGTATTCATGCTGGAAAAAATTGAAGAAAAGGAAAAACACTTAATAAATCTTCAAAAAGACATCAAACTTTCTGTGAAAGTTCAGGTGAGCAGCCAACTTAAATTTTTGTGTTCAATTAAGTTAATTCTATTATTTATTTTTTTTTTTTTTAAATGGAATGTGTGTTTATTATCCATTTAATCTTTGTGAATGATAAAAAATAATTTATTCAAATTTCTTTGAAATGCCCACTGTTTGAATGATAACCATTTCAGATTTCTCCTTGCACCCTGACTTTCCAAAGTTTTAAGGAAAAGTAGATTTAGTATCTTCTGTCCAGACCTTATCCCATTGTATAACGGTGTGACTCGGTCTGGATAGAACTATAAGGTAATGGAAGTTAATTCTGGTGATCACCAAGGACAGGATAGGAGTTACATTTCTAACATTCATTTTTTTTTTTTTTTTTAAACATTCTTTATATACTAGTAGTCTATATGTCTAAGTGTACGTCATAGTAACTGTGTTTTAGTCACTTGAGGCCCCGTGCTCTGTTGTTCTTCTTGTTGTTGTAGTTATTATGCAAGCAGTCTTTAAGTGCAGTTTCTTCGGTTTTTGTTAAATGGCTTTTGGGTGGTTTCACAGCACCCAAAGTGCAGCCCTTCTGGTACCCCTAAGTTAATTTAAAGGAACATTTATATTGTTAAACATGTGTTCCTCACACTATAGTTTTAATCCATATATTTTGGTGTCCCCCCTGCAGTGTGAGGGTTTGAAAGGAGAGTATTACTTACTTACCTTTCAGTTGTCCTCGCCGCACCAGTCTCAAAGATGCTGCACTACATCTTTTGCTAAGATCATGAAAGTTTTTTTATATATATATATATATATATATATATATATGTTATAACATTGGGACTGCAGCACCGCATCAATTAAATGGTCTACATGGGAATCTTTGAATAGCTGCGTTTAACTCTGATCTTGTGGCTGATGTGCCTCTACTGGCTGTCAGGAAGACAGCCAGTAGTAGCATGTTAAACCTGTAATTGCTGTATCTATCTAATGGCAGTGTTTTCTCATGCAGGGTTAAAAAGACAGGCCATGATAACCAGGTCCCTTCATTGAGATGAAGTAGTCTGGGTGCCTATAGTAAATGGTGTGTTTTTTTTGTTTTTGTTTTTTTTAAATCTTGGTGGACACACAGGAACCTGGGTTTTGGTGCCAGATGCCCTCTTCATTTATTTTCTTCATCCAAATGCTCTTGCATCACAACATTGAATGTCTGTTTAATTATATTGTTACTTGTCTTGATATACAAAATGTTTTTATTCTGTTCTTAGGCAGTGGCAGTTTGCATGGAAAAGGGAAGATTTAACACGTCCTCTGAGGTTCTTGACCGTCAGTTTTCAGAAACTGGATCATATAAGGTGACATTATACTAACTGTGTAACTATCCTGCAATAGATCTTTAGTACGTGACTGTATAAGAGTTCTTATTTCCTGGTAGAGCTAAAGGATGTGAAGTAAAATACAGTTACAGTTCTTCCCAGCCATAGCCTGTAGATAACTGTGCTTCTTGCAAACAATGCAGAGTAAATTGCTCTTGATTTATGTATGTTATGTATGAAGGACTTAAGTCATAAGAACTGTAGCTTTTTCCAAGCTCCTTTTTAGATGTACCCCCGACACCTACATGCAAAAATAAATGCATACATGCATTAATTGGTGGGGTGTGTGTATACATACTAAACTGTGATTTACTTATTTATTTTAGGAAATTAATGACTCTGAACATTTATTAGCTGAACTTTTGCCTAATCCTCTCTGGGGGTAAATGGAGGAATACCCAGCGCCCTTTCCCTGATGTACTGGTGGTAGAGGTGCCTCCTCTTTTCCTGTGAATTTCAGAAATAATCTTCTCTAAGATTTTAGTCTCAACTCCACCCACGCCTACTTGGGCAAATTAGGGTCATACTGCCACAGAGAGAGTGCTAAAATGGTGGTGGCATTACTGTTGCCACAACTTGTTTGTGTCCCCTTGTTTGTTTCTGAACTGTTCACATTTTTTAATATTATTATTTTTTTCACTAGACTAAAGTTAGCAATTGCTGGTAGCACCTTATAATGAACATAGAAAATATTTCTCTCTTAAATAATGATTATGTTTAAGATGTTTTCTATACATAATACACACCTGAATGCTGCTGTTATTATTATTATTATTTATTTATTATTTATTATTATATCCTTACAGTATAGGTGTACCAGCTGGTCCATATTATCCTATGCTTGCTTATTGAGTAAGACATTTTAAACTATATACAGAAATCCGATTTTTGTACATTTATAAACCAAGATCTCCGTCTTAAATCCTCAACATATACCTTTTTTTTTTTTTTTAAATCCCCCTTTTTCTTTCTTTCAGTATTTGAAAATGAAGTTGGCTATGATTGTTGGTAAGAAAGATCCATATCATGGGTTGCTGCAGAATATGAGCTATAAAACCATGTTGAAGAAAATAAACACTTACCTTGACCTTACATTGAAAGGAAGACAATCTCCTTTTTTATTAAAGGTGTGTAAATCTAAAACATCCAGGAAAGTAAAATCTTAATGTTGCATTGGGAAAACAAAACGGACAGCCAGTTTAGCCAAGGCTTGCATTTGGTGTCTTAGAACATCAATAATTCCTACTTACACAGCCTTTGTCATTTAAAAATGAATGCACTTATTATTTAAATATGAAGGTAATAGGAGTAGGTGATGTGTAGAGTCCCACAAGGGGAAACCAACATCAGCAGAGCTCCACTGTATAAGAAATGAGAAAGGGAGGCCCTACCTTTAATCAATCTAAGGATAAAAAGGGATATGCAAACAAAAAGTATAACTTGAAAAAAAGGGAGATCTACTAAACGGTGCCCAGGGGCTCAATTGTCTGGGGTACTAGCTAGCATCTAAGTTCCAGTTCCCCTGGTGCCCGAATGACAGGAAGGTAGTGTAAATGAGGTTAGGGAGAGAGAAGAGGCACAGGGTCCCCAGAGAACAAGGGACCGGGTAATCAGGTCTAAATGCAGATGAAAAGCCTCACACAAAAAATAAATAAATCTCTCAATTCACCCTAAAAGTTACCTCGACACTGTGGTCTAACCACTAGTGTCTACCTGAACCAACTCTCCCTGCTGAAGTTATAAAGAAATAAATACCTAAAAATCAATAACCATAGTGGTAACAAAAATAAAAAAGTGCTACCAAGTGCAGAGATTAAAGAAAAAGAAAACGCTCGATGCGCGTTTCGAACACTGCTATTAGGTAGAAACGCATGTCGAGCGTTTTCTTTTTCTTTAATCTCATGCACTTGGTAGCACTTTTTTATTTTTGTTACCACTATGGTTATTGATTTTTAGGTATTTATTTCTTTATAACTTTAGTAGGGAGAGTTGGTTCAGGTAGACACTAGTGGTTAGACCACGGTGTCGAGGTAACTTTTAGGGTGAATTGAGAGATTTATTTATTTTTTGTGGGAGGCTTTTCATCTGCGTTTAGACCTGATTACCCGGTCCCTTGTTCTCTGGGGACCCTGTGCCTCTTCTCTTTCCCTAACCTCGTTTACACTACCTTCCTGTCAGTCAGACACTAGGGGAACTGGAACTTAGATGCTAGCTAGTACTCCAGACAATTGATCCCCTGGGCACCGTTTAGTAGATCTCCTCCCTTTTTTTCAAGTTATACTTTTTGTTTGCATATCCCTTTTTATCCTTAGATTGATTAAAGGTAGGGCCTCCCTTCCTCATTTCTTATACAGTGGAGCTCTCCTGATGTGTAGAGTCGCACAAGGGGAAACAAACATCACCTACTCCTATTACCTACATATTTTGGAGGGTTAGCCCCTCATTGTTGCTCCCTATTAGGTGGTTAGTGGTGCAGCTCATGAGCCCTTGACTTGTATCCGGACTCCTGACCTGCACTCTGTTTACTTTGTTTCTCCATTTTGTATTTAAATATCTATTTTAAACACTTTTACAGAATATTTTCTGTTAATTATTTATTTAGGACATCATAATATCAGTTTGTAAAGTGATGACCAAGATGAAAAGTTTGATGTTAATTAAATGTTTTCCAGGTGGCCACAAAGGTTGTAGAAGCTAAGGACAAAATTACTACAGGAATGCAGTCTGGGAAAGATGGCAGTTTAAGTACTAATGAAAGGTTGGTGTTTGTTTTTAATCTTCTTTAAAGTGGCTCTATCACCACCGGTCACTGAGTATTTTTTAAGAAGATAAAATCTTTATGAAATACTCATGTTGACTGCATTGGAAATTCAGTAAAATTTCAGAGGTAATCAAACATTATAATGAGACAATGCAAAGACTAATTTTCTCTTAAGGACAAAGTACATGTTGACAAATGATAGAACTCCACCGTCAACTTTTGTTAATTCTCACAGCTGTAGCTAGCAATGGCTGTGGGAAAGTGGTATCTTCTGCGCTTTATGCAAGTTGATCAATGTTGGGATTATCGTTGGATGTCAGTGTTGTACTTTCAAAAGCTCTTGAGAGATGGAGTAAATTGAAATAAAAAAAGGTGTTGGCAAGGAAGATCTTCAAGCTTGCTGTAGTGGTTGTGGTGCTAGGATTGCCTGAGCTCCCTACCAGAGTAAACTTGTCAAATAATTTAAGACTGATTGAGCAACTTACCTGGGTCCTACTGGGCACCTACTGATTCTCTAGTGAGCTTTATAGGGCCATGCTCATTGGCTGGGACCATCCAGGAGACTATGGTAAGTTTTCAAACCGTTCTAAAAAAGGTTTGACAGATAACTATGAGAGGGTACAATATCCTGTAGCAATTAGGGTGCTTTTAGTGTTCCTTTAACTTTATTTTTCAGACCTTACAAGCACATTTGTTAAAGTTAAGGGATACATGTATTAATATAAATATGATGGTTCTCCTTAACAAGATCCCAATTTATTTTAAGAGTAACAGCCAATATATATATATTTATATTACAAAAAAGAAATATCCAAAACCTTTGAAATATCATAATGTCAACATTGTAATGGTGCTGTGTTCATTAGGGATAAGAGGTATGACCGTGCAGTTCGATAATTTTTTTTATGTACTTTGATGTGTGATCCACTGCTTTGAAAGTGGCTCTGTCACCATAATGAAATGTAAGATCTGATCTGTTTGAAGTACTCACAAGTATAACTCTCCTCCGCTTCACTCCCCAGCCGTTACATACTTCGCAAGTATGTTACCATCAAGGGTCAAAATAGGCAAAGACCCTTCAAGGTGAACGGTATGGTGCCCCTACCTCTAAGTCAACAATCTTATATCATCTTAGAAATGGTGCTGTAATTCTGTGCATATTAATGATGCCTCTAATCAATCTCTATTACAAATGTAATATTTCAAGGGAGTATTCCAAGTCATAATTGTTATGATGTGTGTGTGTGTGTGTGTGTGTGTAACTATATTAATTTGTTTTTTGTTTTCTTGTGTTCTGTTTAGAATAGTGGAAGACGGGGTTTCATTTTTAACTGACGACACTGTAGCATACCATACAAAGAATCCTTGTACAGAAAGCTCACTGTAAGTGTAAAGTTGTTTAAACGATGAGAGTTGTTAGAATTGTTGCAAATTAAATCAAATTAATCTAAATTCTACCACAGCATTAAATGTCCTATGAGTAATGTAATGAGGAAGTTTGTATTCCAATATTGTATGTTTTACTAAAACTCCAGTATTGGGGATGTGCTCAATAACTTTTTATTTTTATAAAAGTGTGTTCATGTTTAATTTAAAGGGACATGCCGAGCACAAAAACCATTTCATCTTTATGAAATGGTTTTGGTACAAAGACAGTCTCCCTTGTTTAAATAAGGAATAGAGGGGTGGACAAATCACTATTTGATTAAATAAACTGGAGACATCCTTCTATCCCCCACCTGTGGCCCTAATAATAATCAGAGGATGGACCTAATGTCCTTCCATCCCCCCACGCTAACAAATCAAATCATTACATATCATTCAAGACTGTTTAAAGCCACTGTAACTTATGTAACCATCCAATCTCACAATTTAATGTTTAGATTTTAAGCTCATTTGGGCAGAGCCCTCTTCGCCTACTGTTCCAGTATGTCAATCACATTTACTGAGAATTTAGTGTTTGTCTTGAATACCTATTGTACAGCGCTGCAGAATATGTTGGTGCTATGTAAATAATTGTAATTACAAACCATTTAGGAATGGATTGCTATAAACCTAGGCTTCAAATATAAATATCTTTATTTCTTCATTACAAAAAAGAACAGACTGTAGATCACAGGTGGTGGGGAAGATCAACATAGTACGGACTTAACACTACCATTACCATGTAAGTTTAAATGTACTTTGTTTTTGTGTAGTGAGGATATTGAAGTGGGCAGTCCTTTAATAGAGAATGAAAGTCAAACTGAGCAAGAGGATGAAAGCCAAATTGAGCAAGAGAATATCTATGACAATACTGACCAGAATCTGTAAGTATACGTTTTGTTTCTACATATTTGTACATATTTATTACATGAAGTATTTACAGTCACGTTTTGTTTTTTTATTTTATTCATTGTGTGTTTATAGTTTATATAATTAAAGAAGTATACTTTTAAATTATAATTTTATTGCAAGCATGGTTTAGTAAACATGATGAACAATTCAAACACATATGGCATCAGAGGAGTAGAAACCATTATTTCTGCCTCTTTGCCCTTTACTGAATATAGTGTAGAGTTGATATAGGGGATAAGTAAAATCCCCTATAGTCCATATCGAGGATACGTGAACCTAATTTCATAAACCCAGTATATGTCTGTCCCTTAATTAAACCCTATGTGTTTACAAAGAAGTAGATGTGTTCATTTCTGCTATATATGTGTATTACTGCTCCCTTGTGACTGTGACTGCACCTAGCCACAGATGTAAATATAAATGCCCGACCAGGCCATAAAGACCCACAAGGACACTGGTTCCCATCCATAACTGTACTCCAGAGAAAAGCCAATAAGGAATATTACTCCGCAGAGAGTTAGGAAGAGGTAAGGCTGACACACAGGGTTTTTTGCTTAACTTTTAGCCAAATAATTTTGAACCTCTATTTGAGGCTAAAATACCGTTTATACTCGAGTGTAAGACGAGTTTTTCAGCACATTTTTTTTTGTGCTGAAAAAGCCCCACTCGTCTTATACTCGAGTCACTGTCTGTATTATGGCAACTTACATTGCCATAATACAGACCAGGACCGCCGGGTTCATTACAAGCCCGGCAGTCCTGTTGGGGGCTGGCAGAGAGCTGTAACTTACCTTTTCTGCAGCTCCCTTCTCTCTCCTCCGGTCCGATCAGCTCCCACTGCAAGTCTCGCGAGAGCCGCGGGGTCAGAGCGTTGCCACGGGTTTCTGTGGCAACGCTCCGCGCAGCACTCAGACCGCGAGACTTACAGTGGAGCTGACAGGGGAGCTGACCGGACCGGAGGAGAGCGAAGGGAGCTGACAGGAGCTGCAGGAAAGGTAAGTTACAGCTCTCTGCCAGCACCCCTCTTACAAAGCCAATCCACTGGACCGCCAGGGAAAGAGAGCCCCCAGACTGGCCAGCTGACAAGCAGGGAGGGGGGACAAAAAAATATATAAATAAATAAGAATTTAAATAATAATAAAATATTAATAATCTATAAAAAAAAATTATAATTAAATTTTTTTTTTTTTTATAAAAATGCCCACCCCCCACCAAGGCTCTGCATCACACACACAAACACACTCTGCATTCATACACACACACCCCACTCATACACACACACATACACAAACACACACTGCACTCACACACACACACTGCATTATATACACACACTGTAAATAAATATTCAATTTAATATAATTTTGGGGGGATATAATTTTATTTAGAAATTTACCAGTAGCTGCTGCATTTCCCACCCTAGTCTTATACTCGAGTCAATAAGTTTTCCCAGTTTTTTGGGGTAAAATTAGGGGTCTCGACTTATATTCGGGTCGACTTATACTCGAGTATATACGGTAGCCAGATTGACTATAACTATAATGTTAACTTGTCCGAATAACCTATTGTAACCTCTGTTCTGTAATGCTGATTTAATTAGCAAAAATCTTGTAGTTTAATAAGAGTTAGCTTTGTTGGGAGGTGATGGTGTGTGTGTGTGTGTTAGCATAATGTGAGTATATACGCTTGTTTAGAATAAAGTTACAGCTGCTCTGTTGTACCTTACAGAATACACTGTACAGTTTTCTTAGCACATTTGCCACCAAATGAGTACCATTGTAACTAATATCTTTTATTCAACTACCAACGCAGTTAAAGCATGTGCGCATGAATAGCTAAATAAGTAAATGATTAACTGTTAAAACAGCTGAAATGGGGGCGGGGCCTGACCGGGGAGCTGAACAGACACGCTTTCTGTGAGCTCCCAGGCCTGAATCTGATTTTTGGCAGAAAACAGTGGGAATACAGCCTATCTCAGAACCCCAACTTACCCCACCTTGCTACATGGAGGCAGGGGTACCGGGGGACACCTCACACGTGCAAAAGCCCGCTGGGAATCCAGACCGGAGGCTTGGGGCCTACAACATGCAGAGCAGGGGAGAGACGGCCGCTCTCCCGGCTCACCTAACAAAGCAGCACCCGAAGCATCGGGCTTCTCCCCCCCCCTCGGGACCGGCGGGGGTTATCCCGGTCCACACAATCGAGTACCACAAGCTTACACGGAATGCAGAAGACGGCAGCAGCCTAAATCGCATCCCCAACCAGCAAACCGCTAGTGACAAGATGGAGACCGAAATGGCCGCCGCCACGTGTGCCCGAGGCACAAAGAAACTTGACCTTGAGACCAGGCTGGATGAGCTGTTCGCCAGGTTCTGGAGGACAATAGCCTCCAGGGAGCAACAGGCCAAGGCATACCACCCTGTCACAGTCCTGCCGGTGATCCCCCAACAAACGTGCACACCGCCTCGCGCCAACAAAGCCTGCGGATGGCAAAACCGAAAAGCCCGTAAACCCAAGCGACTACCAATACCTATGGCGGCGACCCGCTCATACAAGGGCCCGGCAAAACTTAACATACCTAGGAGGCATGAAAAGGCGGTCCCGCTGCAGCGACACACTGCGCTAAACGGGGACCGGACAGGGCCGAAGGGCCCCAGGCAGACCACACCGCAACACCCCTACCGACAACACTCGGAGGTAGGCCCTGGCATACCTCGGAGGCGACACCACAGCCGGCGACACATCACCTCACGCAGACTCTTTCACGTTGGCAGGTCCACCCCACCGGAATGGGGCCATGCCTATATCAACGCAGAGACCCCATGCATCGAACGAAGAGGCTGGACACTCTATAACACCAAGAAGATCCCTGCAACCAGACTGCACGCCCTGAGAGCTGGAGTTGGCTAGGGGACTTGACCGACACAGCGGACATACCTAACCGCAGACAGTGGAGGACTCTATTTATGACAAGAGTGTAAATATGTACCTTCATTTTTTTTTTTTTTTTTTACGAGTTGCATTTATTATGTTATTCAACTTTCTTTTGCTCCATGTATGCCCCACAACTGCACCTACACACTTAATGTAAAGCCAGCGCCACTGCCGCCAACTAAACACTAAGCCCAATGTCCCATTGGTGCTGGGCACTTGCATACAGCAACCCGGCATGGCACATGGCTCTGTCAACGCTAGGGACCACGGGGGGAATGCCACTTGGGACGCAGCAATCACCTACCAAGCCTCTCCGAGTATAACCTCGATACCCTGCCACCAGAGTTGGTCCAGCACACTTATCCGTGGGACCACTAATCTATAGCCTTAATGGCTAGGAAGGTTCTAGTTACTCATAAGCTAAACACCCACGTATAGGTAGACATACCAGCCTGCCATGATGGTGTCCAACCCGACACGTTACTAACTTATGTCAGCCATGTCACAGCATATCTTACCACCATATCTCCTGCTGCTGCCACTAGCAATAACCAATCTTTTGACTCACTCAGCCTTTCCTTAACGCATGTAGTAACTTACTCATAGCTTGACCATCTCTTGCCACTGCAAAATAATCACATGCCCAGAAAGTTATGTTATGCAAACGTTATGCAAATGCCTAAACAAAGTAAAGCTATACTGTTTCTACCCCTATATATAAAAAATGTGCTTGATCTCCCTTGTACCCCTATGATCCACTGTTCGTATTGTGCTAGAGGAATGCCTTTGGGGTACCTCACATGCAACTGTTATATGCCTATGCACTACAAAAATAAAGAATTTAAAAAAAAGCTGAAATGTTTAAACTGTTCAGCACTGCTTGTTAATTTTATTTATCTATTTATTTTATTTTGTTATTTCTGATCAAGAAATACAGTCATCCCAAGTATTGACAGAAAAGAAGTGACCGACACAGATAAACACACTAAAAGGTAAAAAAAGATATACATATTTATATGTTTCAGATTTACATTCTTCAACAAGAGTTGTTACTTGTACGTACTGGCTGAATATATATATTTTTTTTTTTCCAATTTGCAGGCACCAGAAGCGGTTGTTTTCACTAGAACAACGTACCCCTTGGAATCCTTACAAACCCTCTGCCTCGAAAAAGTTAATGAGCAACATAAAGCTAAGTATGTAAAGAGAGCCAATGCATTGTACATCCTTTTTATGTGCCAGTTGCTTTTTATCATTTCAGTTAAAGGGACACTGTAGGCATCAGCTCTTTGAAGTGGTCTGGGTGCTGTGTCCCTTTTGCATTTATTGCTGCAATGTTAAACATTTCAGTTTCAAGGAAACTGCACTGTTTATATTGCAGCCCTAAGTCTGCCCACAGTGGCTGTCTGCGTGGGAGGGGGGAGGCAGGGGAGCGTTGGTGCCAGAAATACAACTTTGTATTCCTAGCACTATAGTATCCCTATAAGGACTGATACAATAACATGTGTATATAATATGGTCAGCTCCAATTTATTACAAAAACAAAGAGCATAGCCCTCACCCTATATATTTAACATGGGAGATTGTTAATTTAGACCGTTAACTTCATAAAGATTTTATGAAGCTTCTGCCATCCTGTGCAGTTTAAATTGTGACCGTATGGTGTAGCTGCTCGCATGATGTCTTTTAGCTACTGTTATTTCTATTAAATTGTCTTATATGTTTGCTGGAATATGTGTTTGTTAATCTGTATTTGTTCATACATACCTAGATACATTCAAGCCTTGAATATTTCACTTGTCCATTATCCTATGGAAAGTTTAAAAACTTCCAAGTGAACACATCTGCTTTCCCTTTACACATCATTAGGAAGAGCAGTAACTTTCCCAGCCTGAATAATCCCTCCATCTGAAAACCTAGTGATAAATAGCCAAGTGTGTATGTGTGTTTGAAATACTGATTATCTACATATCATATGCAGCATCACATCTGGCTGTCTTTAAAATATATTAGTGAAAAATTGAGTTTCATGTTCAATCTAGTTTTAAAATGGACATGACTACATATTTGTATAGGATTTTTTTTTTCTTTCTTAATTTAGGAAAACGAAGCCAAAGAGTTGCTACGTCTACGCAAAACAAGTTACCTTCTAAGTCTTCTGCTTCTAAAAGGAAGGTAAGCTTGACATGTTTAACATTAATGCAAATTTTTGATGTTATGTTTGCATTTTATTTATATTTCACGGTTTATCTGATGGAAAATGATCTTCAAAAACATCATGTAATTTAATTTTATGGTATAACTCACTAATCAAATCACTATATACACAACTGGTTGATGTATTTTTTTAAGTTATTATTTCTGAATGGCATTTAAAGCTGATTGAGTTGTGCAGGCAATATGCAGAGATAGATGAAGTTTCAGAGTTATTAAGATAGTGACTTACTTAACAGAGGTATGTCTAAAGTAAAAACAAATAGGTTGATGGGGCCTGAGGGGATACACCCAAAGTTATTAAAGGAACTTAGTGGTGTACTAGCAAAACTATTAACTGATTTATTTAACCAATCATTGCAAACTTGAGTAGATCCAGAAGATTGAAAAATTAGCAAATGTTGTGCCAATTCACAAGAAAGGTAGTAGGGAGGAGTCGGGCAAGTATAGGCCAGTGAGCCATACTTCAGCAATCCTATCCATAGTTTCCATTACTTTCCCCACTACTGAACATCTAAAAATCACATGGATTTCAAGATCAGACACATTACTTAAGGGAGATCATGCCAAACTTCTCTTATTGAGTTGTTTTGTTTGTTTGTTTTTTTTTTTTATAGATCAGGGTGGTGCAGTAGACATTGCTTACCTAGATTTCAGTAAGTCTTTTGATACAGTCGGTCATAGCTCATCAATAAACTGCAATCTTTAAGTTTAGATTCCAGTATTGTTGAATTGGTTAGGCAGTGGCTGAGTGACAGGCAACAGAAGGTTGTAGTCAATGGAGTCTATTACCAGTGGGGTACCTCAGGGATAAGTACTTGGACCCATTCTCTTCAATATATTTATTAGTGATATTGCAGAAGGTCTTGGTGGTAAGGTATGTCTTTTTGCTGATGATACTAAGATATGTAACAGGGTTGATGTTCCAGGAGGGATAAGCCAAATGGCAAATGATTTAGGTAAACTAGAAAAATGGTCAGCTGTGGCAACTGACATTTAATGTGGATAAGTGCAAGATAATGCATCTTGGGCATAAAAATCCCAAGGGCAGAGTATAAAATATTTGATACAGTTCCATTCTGAACATCTGAGGAAATGAATGACTTAAAGGTATCCAGACATGTAATAATCCAGACAATGTAATAGAGCAGCAGGAAATGCTAGCAGAATGTTTGGTTGTATAGGGAGAGGTATTAGCAGTAGAAAGAGGGAAGTGCTCATGCCATTGGACCGAACACTGGTGAGACCTCACTTGGAGTATTGTACACAGTACTGGAGACCGTATCTTCAGAAGGATATTGATACCTTAGAGAGAGTTCAGAGAAGGGCTACTAAACTGGTTCATGGATTGCGGGATAAAACTTACCAGGAAAGGTTAAAGGATCTTAACATGTATAGCGTGGAGGAAAGACGAGACAGGGGGTATATGATAGAAACATTTAAATACATAAAAGGAATAAACACCGTAAAGGAGGAGACTATATTTAAAAGCAGAAAAACTACAAGAAGACATAGTCTTAAATTAGAGGGGCAAAAGTTTAAAAATAATATCATGGCCTCCCAGTTTTGTGTTTTTGTCTTTATGTGCTTATTACGTTCAGGTCTTCAACGCACAGTGTTCTTCTTTACGAGTTATACATGGTGACACTAAGTTGTAAATCTTCTCATATACCTCGGTCTTGGTTATAAATAGATGAGCAAAAGTTATACTGATACCTAAACGGCAATTTGAAAGTGTTACTATGGTACGCAATATAAGATCTGATCTAGTTAGATGGTAATGGAATAGGGTATCTATAGATATATTTCCGGACGATCAATGTAAAGTGGAACAATTTGAGATTCACATTATGTAATGATTATGGAGATCTTGTGTGTGGTTTTTTTTTTCCTTTTATTCTCTCCTTATTGTGATTGTCTTTTCTATGTTTTTAAGTCCTAAGCATAACCTAATAAAAATATATATTAAAAGAAAATATCAATGAAGTATAACTTTACTGAGAGGGTAGTGGATGCATAGAATAGCCTTTTAGTTGAAGTGGTAGAGGTTAACACAGTGAAGGAGTTTAAGCATGCGTGGGATAGGCATAAGGCTATCCTAACTATAAGATAATTCCAGGGACTAATGAAAGTATTTAGAAAATTGGGCAGACTAGATGGGCCGAATGGTTCTTATCTGCCGTCCCATTCTATGTTTCTAGTTACTATGAAGCTATTTAGGAAGAAACCGAAAAGTCTCCTGTTTCCCCAAAGAAAATGCAGAGCATGATGAGCTGACTCAGCAGAGGAAAAGACCTTGAGCTGCCACTAAACTTACATCTAACTTTTCTCTTTAATAGAAGCAAAAGTAAACTTAGGTTTTGCTGTCTGTATGCAGAAAAAAATAGGAACTTGCAATTTTCCTCAAAACAAGTCATGTTAGCAAGAAAGAGCTGTTGAAAAATCTACCCCTCTGCTTTTCCTGAAGATCATTTCTGTTCCTTTGTTATTTGAAACTGAGTGAAGTTGGCAATATCTCGAAGAGGTCACAATTTTAGTTTTCTAAAAAATATATTAAAAAGCGCAAAACAAATATCAACTACTAAATAAATACGCTTAATATCACAATAAATAAATATTTAGCATAAAGCTGATAAACCAGTAAAGGCACTTACTGATTTAAAATAAATAAATAAATAAAAAATAGAACAATAAAAAAAGAATCTGGTAGCACTTAAAGTATTCACCACTACAACACCGATAAATTAGCCACAAACAACTATAATATAAATGGATTTTAGAAGAAATTATATAAGTTTCAAATAAAGAATCTGAAAGACAAAATACAATTTAATGACCGCAGTAAAATCCAAAAGATCAGTGTTCCATTTGAGTTATAGTTAAAACCAAGAGACCATTACAGGTAGGAGTCCAAATATTTTATAAAAGGACACAGTAATCTTGAAATTAAATATTTACAGAACAGAATTCGGAGTAATTTGTCAATCTGTGAACGTGTCAGGAACTCTCCGTAGCTGTCCAGTAGCTCCAACAGGACGTATCTTGTGGTTTTCAGGGCAGACCTATGATCTCCATGGGTAGCAGTGCAGCATCTCCTTTTTAGCCAGCGTCGCCCACATGTGGCACCAGAGTATTCCATCATCACAGTTTACCTGACCATATTCTTTCAGGTCCCTCTAGATATGGACACTGCGTTCACAGCAAGCATGATGGTGAAAGGGAGTGGAGCAGCAATGTCGGCCGTGTCTGTGCTCTGGAAAAATGATGTCCCCTCTTCTTATATTTAAAGCACCAGGCAGCCTCTTCCCTTGCTCAGACTTTTGTGTAAGCTGTGTTCAGGCCAGTGCCAGTACCTGTGCCTATAGTCTAGGCTTCCTGTGCCTACTGACTGTATGCGGACTGTGCCTGCAGTATATTCTCTACCTGTGTCTACAGCCTGTGTCATTTGAACCTGTGGTCTCAAAGCCCCCATATGTCTTGCTTTGGGCTATCCTTCCTCATTCCAATACTGCATCCTGAGCTCCTCCCACAACTATGACAGGAATCTGTATAATAAGGTGAAAACTGTGCGTGGACCATAAGCACACATTTAACATTCCTGATGTGTTATTTTATTATTCTCCCCTACAGCATTGGACCTGGGAAGAAGATGAACTGCTGAAAAAAGGTGTAAACAAATATGGAGTTGGAAATTGGAGCAAAATTCTTGTGCATTATGAATTTAATAATCGGACAGGTGTCATGTTAAAAGATCGATGGAGAACCATGAAGAAATTAAATATTGTTGGCAGTGGCGATGAGTCATAAGTGTACCTGTCACACAATGTAACATGTACTTTCGAGTGTAAAAGTTTCCTTTGTCTTATCCTGGAAAAAGCCTAGATAAAATATTTATGGTATACAGGCATTAACTAGAACCATGGTGGTAACAATGTAGCATACACAGCCCACACCTTAGTGCAGGGGTAGACACATTTTGGCACTTAAGATGTTATGAACTACATCTCCCATAATGCTCTTACACATGTAATGCTGGCAAAGTACCAGGGGATATGTAGTCCACAACATCTGGTGGAGTGTTAGAGAGAGCAGAGTTCTACATACATATTTCATAAAATTATATCTTTCACTCATTTCTAACAATTGTGTATTAGAGTTCTGGTACGTAAACAATTCAAGCTGGTTGGTAAAGAAGAAGTTATTTAATGTGGTGACAAGACTGAGTAGCATCAACGAAACCATAAAATTGTTTCCCCTGATCCTATATTATTTCTTAATATATAACGCTTTGATAGCTGTGTGTTTTGCTTTTATTTTTTTTATATATATATTTTATTTTTGTATAAGCCCACTGTTCATTTGTGCATATATGTGTGTGTATATATATGAGATGTTTTTTGTTTTTTTTCATTTCTATATTTTTAATGTATTTTTATGTACAGTTAATTGTAATTGAACAGTATTTTGTTTAAAATAAAACAAAATTTAAAGAAAACGCTCAAATGAAATTTTGGGCTGTTGTCTTCAGTGATGAAGTTACTAAATGTTGTCTGAGAATTTGCCAGATTCCTTAGCATGGTACTGATTTAACTTCTCATACTACAAAATGTATTTGTTTGTTATTTTCTTTGATTTAGCATGTCACCCAACAGTGTGCGTACCTTGAATGCAGGGCCGGATTAAGAGCACACTGGGCCTGATGCTGACAAATATGATGGGCCTAATTACAGAATCTTATTGACCAAAAAAACTAAAACAGTCATACCTCCCAAGCGTCATGTATCTGATGGAGATGGTGCTGGAGGGAAACTCATATGATGCAGCTGTAGGAAAACACATACTCTATGCTAATCTCTCTCTAATTTATGCTTTCTTCTTTCAAGTAAATCCATAACCCCTAACAGCAGTGTCCAGCGAAGCAGGAAGTCAATGGGTGGGGTAAAAGGGTGGGCTACTGGTGCGAATCACGTGACCAGACCTGCCAAAAGGGGAGAACATGCCCAAAAAGGGGGCATGTCTGTCCAAAGAATTTGTCCAACTAACGGCATACTATGCAGGCAGCACCTTGAGCTTGACATAAATGCATCTAATGATGCGCCTACTCTGTGATTTTTAAGGACTGTCCCTTAGTACTCGCTGGTCCACTTGTCTCCTTGCCTTCTTACTAGCAGGCAGAAGCTCCTGGTATATAGTCTGAGACAGAGAAAAGGTGTATGTAGTGAGTGTAGAAGAAAGGGGACATGCCACAGTGTTAGAGAGACCAGCGTCTGCATTACCTAAACTAATTTTATTGTCAGCTAGTCCACACAAGTTTTGTTCCCATACATTCCTCTTAAGTTTCCAAACGTAAAGGGACACTAGCCCTTTTGCAGTAAACACTGTCATTTCAGAGAAAATAACTCCACTGGCTGCTCCTTAGATGGCTGCTAGAGGTGCTTCCTGGGGCAGTACTGCCATTCAGTGTCTCCATCCGATGCATACAGACACTGAACTTTCCTCATAGAGATACATTGATTCAATTTATCTTTAGGAGGAGATGCTGATTGGCCAGGGCTATGTTGGACTTGTGCTGGCTCTACCCCTGATCTGCCTAGTTGACCGTCTCAGCCAATCCTATGGGGAAGTATTGTAATTTGCTCAGACCACCACTTCTGATGATGTCAGCAGACAGTCAATTCAGAGGCAGAGCCAGCAGCTGCAGACTTGAATACAAGTTATATTTTACTATACTTAGGGAGGCAAGAAGGGGCCAGGGTGTTGGTTTTAACATAATAGGGTCAGAAATACCTGATTGTGTTCCTGACCCTATAGTGCTCCTTTAAGCAAGAGTATGCGAGAAAGCAAGAGTATGTGAAGAGTGGTTAGGGTTGCCACCTTTCTTGGAAAAAAAATACCAGCCTTAATCATTTGTATAATGCTCGCCTTCAAGACTTCTCCAGGGCTGCACCTATTCTGTGGAACTCCCTTCCCTCCTCAATCAGACTTTCACCCAGCCTCCATTCCTTCAAAAAATCTTTGAAAACTCACTTCTTCATTAAAGCGTATCAATTAAACTGTCAGCAGGTTTCTCATCCCCCACCCCATGACTCCGTTCCTGCACCTGTCAAAAAATGACCTACCAAGCACTCAATAAGCCCTTCTGTAACAAACTATTTAATTCCCCTACTTTAACCCTTTGTGTCACTATACCCCACTCCCTCTAGCATGTAAGCTCATTGAGCAGGGTCCTCAACCCCCTCTGTTCCTGTACGTCAGTGGTCTGATCTCAATTATGTGTCTGTTAGTCCACCCATTGTACAGGGCTACGGAATTTGTTGGCGCCATATAAATAATAATATAATCACAAGGAGTGACATCAGAGAAAATTCTGTAAAATCACCAACAAACTACTCACAGTTTGATTCTGCTGTATAGATGGATTGCTCCCAGTGTCTCAGTCTCGCAAGTCACCCAGTGTCTCAGTGTCCCTATGTATCACAGTGTCAGTGTCCCCAATGTCGCCCAGTCCCCTAGTCTCCCAGTGTCCCAATGTCTCAGTGTGTCCCCATGTCAATAGGATACGGGACACACACAGATATGGGGGACACACAGAGACATGGGGGGGACACAAAGATATGGGGACACTGAGACATTTATGGAAACTGGGAGAAATGGGGACACAGACACTGGGAGACATAGGGACACTGAAACATTTGGGGACACTAAGGACACAGACATGGGGACACTGGGAGACTTGGGGACAGTTGTGGACATAGACATGGGGACACTGGGACATATAGGGACACATGTGGACACTAGGCACACTGAGAGACACGGGACACAGACACTAGCGACACTGGATGGGGGACATAGGGACACTGGGAGAAATGGGGACATGGTGTCTCTGTGTCCCAATGTCTCAGTGTCTCCCAATGTCTCCCAGCATCCTCATGTGTCTCAGCATCCCCATGTGTCCCAGTGTCTCAGTGTCCCACATGTGTCCCCATCCCTCACTTACCTGAGCTGTAGAGCTGCTGTCTGGACTCTGTGCTGTGTAGCTGCTCCCCCACAGATCAGTAAGTAGTAGAGAGAGGCAGGGGTATTCTGTACCTTCCTATCCCTGCCTCTCTCCACACACAGTGACCCCTACTGGCTGGTGCTGGTATTGCAGAGTAATTTCCTTTTATTCTGAGAAAAATACCTGCATTTGTATTGCCGGTATTACTGCAATACCGGCACGGCCAGGCATCCTCAAATACCGGCTGTGCCATTAAAATACCAGTCAGGCGGCAAACCTAAGAGTAGTGTTTAAAAAAAAATATATATATATATTTTTTATTATTACTTTTTTTTTTAAATGGGCCTATTCCATGGGCCTGGGCCTGGGCCTGGATCTGCAGCTCCACCAGCCCCTATGTTAATCCGGCCCTGCTTGAATGTGTTCCCTTGTAACATGTTCCTAGTGCAGAAGAATTGCATAATTCTCATTATATTATCACTATGTTATGCATTTCGTTGTGCTGCCATTCATAGATCAGCTGGACCCCTTTTATAGACCAGAACATTCTATTACTGCTTTGGTTTATAAAGTTTCGACTCCCAATGGGACTCAAAAGGTTGCAGTGTTACAGATGTTCCAATAAAGGTGCCTGAAGACAATGGAGTGCCTGGACCCTTTTTCTAATACTGGTATTTATCTTCTGTGCTTGTGCTGGACCTTTATTCATTGAAGCACACTGTCTTAAGTGAATTGAATGCGGCTCCTTTTTTCTCCAATTTTATTGCGAAGATTTTGCCCGTTAATTTCTGTTAATTCGTAACTATACAGCATACAATGTCATTTTATATGAATTTTAAGGAGGTAAGTATGTCCCATGTACACAAAGATCCATACAAATGTGTTGTTGTTTTTTTTTTTCTCCTGTAATAACGCAAATGGTTTTTTTCATATGCATACAGGCATCTCTTACATGTTTAGAAGTGTTGGCCTTAAAAGGCCTGTGTAAAAGGATAGGTTTTGAGGTGCGTTGATTTGTGTTTTAATGTCCAAGAAGGCAGCTTCTTTATTCTGCCAGAGAACATGTTCCACAGAGCCACTTGGCTATAGCTCACTTACTGTTTTTTTGTATTGAATTCTTGGCACCTTTTCCCTTCAGAGCACTTGATGCTCAAGGAATGTATATTGGGAGCACTACATGTTCCTTTATGTAGCATATCCCTGATCAAGCGTTGCTCTGTACAATAGGACAACAATTCTGAATAATGTGTGCTATTTACTGACAACCAGTCACTAGGAAATGGGAAATAAGTGTTGCATAACTGATTTGTGACTTTCCAGTTACCAGGCTTGCTATGGTACGTTGTACCAGCAGGGGGCTGCCGAGTGACTGTTTTAAGAGACCATAATTAATTATAATATAGAGTTTAAATAAGCTTTTACACGCTCGCCTTATTTCAGCTCTGGCTTAGTCTCTGCCTCCTACCACCTTATTGCATGGGGTAACCTAATGTGCAAACTCCCTGCACACATTAGGCCTTCCCCATAGGAAAGTATTGAATCAGTGCTTTCCTACAACAATTTAGAAGATGCTGTTTGTACTCATGCATAGCGTGAGAGCGTCCAACGTCCTCTTACAGAGTTAAACTTCTTAAAGACCAAACATGTTTTGTTATCAAAATCTGATCCGTGAATAAGTTATGCTAATGCCCTGCTCATCTAGCTTGGGTTCCCTACTATCCTTAACTGAGTGGGATATTACATTTTAGAATAGAATCCTTACAGAAGAGATTATGATGTTTAGACTTTTACCCCCTGTGCATCTATTGGGTTGAAGGATGCGGGTAGCTATGATGGGGCCTGAGGGTTTGGGGACCATCTAACGCTTGTGTTGTTGGGATTGGGCATCCCCTACTTTTCTAGTTATTGGCCTATTTGACATTGATTGGATATCTACTTTATTTCTTTTTTTTACCTTCCCATATACTTTTAAGTTAAAGGAGTGGAATATTAATTCAGCTATGTTTGCAAATATTTAAAAAAACTTTACACACAGTATCTCGTTCAATACATAATATACTTTATTTCATAAAATAATATTTTATATTTTTAAGTAGATCTTTGATTGAAAACAAAAATTGATCACCACCATTCTGTCGAATTACCCAGTAGTCCTATAGATTTGAATACATTATACAGATTGACCCAACTCACAGCTCAATATAATTCTTGAAATAAGGAGATAGAACTATATGTAATTTCTTTGTATGTCTGTTTAGTAATACACATAACAGTCTTTCACCATAGGTGTTGTTTTATCACACTGCTTGTAAATTTGCACTGTATTTGAGATCATGCGTTGCTAGATTTTAGATTAAGAGGGTATACAATATCAATTGGTTATTATACAT